CCTGATTTGGCCTAGCATATTCAAGGAGTCTCTGGAACTGGGCTGGCTAGTGGGAAGACCCCTTCACTGAAACTGACTCTTCTCCTTTTACAGTCTCATCTCTTGATCAGTTGGCTTCTGTTGAGCCAAAGTGTGTGTGTGTGTGTGTGTGTGTGTGTGTGTGTGTGTGTGTGTGTGTAGGTCAAGTCATAAGTCAACGCAGTGCAGAGGCTAGACAAGCACAGCTGTAGGTTCTACTAGAGACTCGGGGGAGTAGTCCCAGTGGAGCTGAGATCACCTTTTGAGAAGATAGATGAGCCATCTCTAAGTGCTTTCTGCAGGGAAGGGGTAGGACAGTTCACTCTCTGAGCTGAGAGCAAGCTCGGATGAGCATGTGCGCGCGCATGTGCACATACACACAAGCACACGCACACTGTCCTCCACTCTTCTTGAAACTCATGTTCACTTTGTAGCCTTTGCTAGTGTATTTGTTCAGGTTTTGGATAAAGTTCATTTGGAGCTGGGCATGGTAAGAGGTACCTTTTTTGAGGCCAGCTTAGTCTGTGGATGAGTCCAGTCAACCAGGGCTATGTGGAGAGCCCCTTTCTCAAAAAATGACCAAACAAAAGTTTACTTGGGGGGCTAGAGTACAGTGTGATCCATTGCACTCACACTGGGCTGCTCACAGCTACCTGCAACTCCAGTGCTAGAGGACAGGACCTGACCCAACATCTGTCTCCTGGACTCTACTGCCGCCTACACTCGAGCACATACCTACAAGTCTAAAAAGACGAGTGCTCTTTCTCATTTGTTCATTCCTTCATCCGTTCCTTTGTTTATGCATGTTTTGCCTGCATGTATGTCTGTGCCCCACATTCACACCTGGTGGCAGCAGACTCTGGAAGGTGGCATTGGATCCCCTAGAACTGGAGTTACAGGCTGTTGTGAGCATCCTTGTGGATGTTGGGAATTGAACACAGGTCCTTTGGAAGAGCAGCCACTGGTCATAACCACTGAGTCATCCCTCCATGCCTAAAATGTTACTTTCTGAGTTAATGTTATTCTGATGTCCAGCTTCCCTGTGAAGGCTGTTACATGCATAAAGCAGGAAGCCCTGACCTCTGTCTCCCAGTGACTTCTCCTGTCCTCCCCCTCCCCCCTGCAGAGCCAGCTAGAGTACAGACACAGAGTAGCACCTTGGTTGTTTGATGATTCCAGATAACTGAAATTGTAATCATTCATGTGCCAAGCATCGTATCTCCCTGCCATCTGGGCGACAAAGGTGTACTAACACCAAGTGACAGTTTTCTGCTATAGAGAACTACGGCTGTAAATTGTCTCTAGACCTGGGAGCGGCCTTGGTATCTCATACTTTAGTAGAACGATACTTTTAGGGGAGCTGGCCGATCTGTCCTGGTAAAGATGGCAGTAAGAGCGTGTAGCTCTGAGGACTCTTGGCATGTCACGGATGTCTTGGTTGTTGTGAATAAGTCAATGGCTGCTAATGAAGGCTTTTAAATTATGCATGTGCTAATACAGTGCATCATCACAGTCTTTAATAAAATGTGAATGGTTTTTTTTTTTAAAGCCGGGTGGTGGTGGCGCACGCCTTTAATCCCAGCACTTGGGAGGCAGAGGCAGGCGGATTTCTGAGTTCGAGAGTTCGAGGCTAGCCTGGTCTACAGAGTGAGTTCCAGGACAGCCAGGGCTACACAGAGAAACCCTGTCTCAAAAAACAAACAAACAAACAAAAAAGATTTTGTTTTTAAATGTGTGTGCCTAGGTATACATGCATATTCCACACACATACAAATGCTCTTGGAGGACAGAAGAGGACTTCAGATCCCCCGGAACTAGAGTTTCAGGCTGAATGTGAGCTGCCCAGTGTGGATGCTGGGAATCAAACCTGGCTCCTCTTCAAGAGAAGCAAGTATTCGAAGTAACTGCTGAACTATCTGTCCAGCTCCTGTTCCCCCCTCTCCTCGTTTTTCACAGGGTTTCTCTGTGTAGCCCTGGCTGTCCTGGACTCGAGTGCAGATCAGGCTGGCCTCAAATTCAGAGATCTACCTGTCTCTGCCTCCTAACTGCTGAGATTGAAGGCGTGCACCCCTACACCATGCGCAGCCTGTTGTTACTGTGAGCACTGGGGGCGGGGGTGTATAGAGAAAAGCTGCACGTGCTTGGTTCTCTTGGGTTTGTTTGTTTGTTTGTTTTTCTGTGTTGTCCTAGAACTTACTCTGTAGACCAGGCTGGCCTTTAACTTAGAGATCTGCCTGCCTCTGCCTTCACAGTGCTGGGACTGAGGCCACTCGGGTCCCGGGTCCTGGAGCCCCAGCCCGTCAGGTGGGCGTGCCGTCTGATCTCACCCATGGAGCCCTCTCTGCTGCCCAGAAATGAGTGTTTAGAGGAAATAAAAAACAAGTTTTAAATCTGGTGTGGTAGCTTATGCTTCTAATTCCAGTATACAGGAAACTGACATAAGAAGATTGACCTTAGGACCAGCCTGAGGTTCAGAGTTCAAAGCCAGCCTGGGCTATTAAACCCCTGTCGAATAAAAACAAGGTAGTTATGTGTCGCTACTGCACTGTGGTGTGGGACCACTTTAAGCTTATCCCTGACTACCCTACAAACGAATGAGACTTGCACTATGGTTATTTGGCATTGACAATTACTGGGGGTCATCCCTGAGATACTCTTGTAACTGCTGGCCTGGTACCTCCCCATCAGTGTACGCCAGATACTTGCTGTTTCCCCTGGCCATGTGCTCATGGTCCAGCTCCTCTCATGGTGGCTTCCTCTCCCTCTCCTTCTTCCTCTTTCTCCTCCTGGTCTTTCCCCAAACTAAGCAACTCAAAACCCACCTATCTCTAATCTACCCAATAATTGGTTGTAACCAATTTTATTTTCCAGTAGTTTTAAATCAAAGAACAAGGTTTAGACAAAAAAAGCTTGTACATGTGAGATTTCACTCATAGGCCTAGACCTTCAGATACAGAATTTAGCATAAGACTTTGGAATTTGAAGCTCTCCCATTGAGTTGAGCATTTACTGTTAGTTTATTAGCGTTTGCAAAATTAGCCATGTTAGCTTTGTTTTGTTTTGGGGGACAGGGGTCTCACTGTGTAGCTCTGGCTGGCCTCAAACTCATAGAAACCAGCATGCCTTTGCCTTCTGAGTGCTGGGGTTAAATGCCTGTGGTAGCACACCGGCCCGTGTTGACATTTATACACACACTAGAAGCCAGTGACTACTCCCTGTGACTAGAAGCTGGCCAGCATGGCACACAGGCAGCAGCATGATGCAGCTCCTCGGCCTGCCACCTTTATTGATGTACATGGTGCTGTTGCAGCTGACAGGTTTTTGCCCCTTTTGATGTTTTATGTCACTTTAAAATGTCACATGCAAAAGATTAAAGTTTCTGATTTCTAACTTGACTGACACTCAGCATCTCAAAGTCACTTTGTGTAAAAAAAAAAAAATCTTACCAACTTCCTTTAGAATGTCATGGTGTAGTTTGCACCAACCACCGCTGTCTTAGTCAGCGCTTCCTATGCTCCCATTTGGAGGTGAACTCACACATGGGTTTCCTCCCCATTCTCTCTCTTGGGGACCTCAAAACTTTCACCAAACTGACTGCTTCTGTCTACTCTTAATTTCTAGGATTGGAGGTGGAAGCCACTCCCTGCCCCCCCAATCTCTGTCTCTGTCTCTATATATCGAGACAGGGTTTTTCTGTGTAGCCCTGGCTCGCTGGCCTCAGGCTCACAAGATCCTCCTGCCTCTGCTTCTGGAGTGCTGGAGTTAAAGGTGAGCACCACCACCACCCAGCTCCATTTTTTTTTTCTTAATACCAACTTTAAACCAAGTATGGCAGTACATACCTGTAATCCTAGAATTTGGGGAGGGTGAGTATAGGGAGTTCTAATCAGCCTAGTCTACAAGGTGAACCTCAGTCTCAAAAACCAACTCAAACAGCTTGTGATCATAGCACTTGGGAGATAGAGGCGGCAGCATCAGAAATTCAGGGTCACCCCCTGATACCAGGTTCCAGTTTAACCTAGGCCACAAAAGATTGTCTTTAAGGGGGGGGAACAAAAAAAAAAAAAACCAAACAACTGGGGGCTGGAGAGATGTCTCAGCGGTTAAGAGCACTGACTGTTCTTCCAGAGGTCCCGAGTTCAGTTCCCAGCAACCACATGGTGGCTCACAACCATCTGTAATGGGATCCGATGTCCTCTTCTGGTGTGTCTGAAGAGA